GAAATAATTATTTTCAATCGAAATTTCGGAAGATACGAGAATGAAAAAAGAACATTCGACTGGAATTTTGAACATTATCTGGAAAACACATATAGGAGATTTAGATTTAGGTATCCAAGTTTCAAAGTTTGTCGAGTAGAAAAGTATAATATAATACGAATACTATGAACGATACACGTAAGACTTTTAGATGTTCAGAAGAGACTATAAAANTAATTATTTTCAATCGAAATTTCGAAAGATACGAGAATAAAAAAAGAACATTCGACTGGAATTTTGAACATTATCTGGAAAACAAATATAGGAGCGAGATTTAGATTTAAGTATCCAAGTTTCAAAGTTTGTCGAGTAGAAAAGTATAGTATAATACGAATACTAGTTGAACGGTACACGTAAGACTTTTAGATGTTCGGAGGAGAGCAGGTTTTATAAAATAATTATTTTCAATCGAAATTTCGGATTTAATCTTCGAAAGATACGAGAATATAAAAAAAAAAAACATTTGACGACTGGAACGATTATCTGAAAAACACGTATAGGAGATTTAGATTTAAGTATCGAAGTTTCAAAGTTTATCGAGTAGAAAATTATAGTATAACAGCGAATACTACGAACGATACACGTAAGACTTTTAGATGTTCGGAGGAGAACAGGTTTGACTATAAAATAATTATTTTCAATCGAAATCTCGGATTCGATCTTCGAGCGANATACGAGAATAAAAAAAGAACATTCGACTGAATATCGGAACGATTATCTGGAAAACACGTATAGGAGTGAAACTTAGATTTAGATATCGAAATTTCAAAGTTTGTCGAGAATATATGTAAGATTTTTGGAAGGAGAGCAGGCTCGACGATAAAATAATTATTTTCAATTGAAATTTTGGATTCGATCTTTGATATCTCGAATACGAGAATAAAAAAAGAATATTCGACTGAATATCGGAACGATTATCTGGAAAACACGTATAGGAGATAGATTAGATTTAGGTATCGAAATTTCAAAGTTTGTCGAGAATATATATAAGATTTTTGGATGTTCGAAGGAGAACAGATTCGACGATAAAATAATTATTTTCAATCGAAATTTCGGATTCGATCTTCGAGCGAGTACGAGAATAGAAAAAGAACATTCGACGACTGAAACAATTATCTGGAGAGTATACGTAAAATTTTTGGATGTTCGGAGGAGAGCAGGTTCGACGATAAAATAATTATTTTCAATCGAAATCTCGGATTCGATCTTCGAGCGAGTACGAGAATAGAAAAAGAACATTCGACGACTGAAACAATTATCTGGAGAGTATACGTAAAATTTTTGGATGTTCGGAGGAGAGCAGGTTCGACGATAAAATAATTATTTTCAATCGAAATCTCGGATTCGATCTTCGAGCGAGTACGAGAATAAAAAAAGAACATTCGACTGGAACGATTATCTGGAAAACACGTATAAGATTTAGATTTAATAGTATCCAAGTTTGAAAGTTCGTCGAGAGTAAGACGTAAGACTTTCGGAGGCTCGACGATAAAATAATTATTTTCAATGGAAATTTCGGATTGGATGTCGGGGCGAATACGAGAATATAAATAGGATGGAGAATGGCGATAGCCCGGACGGGAGGAGGTGGAGATATCGTCGGACTAGAATCAATTGTAATCAAGATGAACGTATAAATCAAAGGGTTGGGGAAGGGGGATAGAAATCAGGAAGTGTATAGCGGGTCGCTTCCTCTCCAATGATTTGTTACCAGTACGCTTTAGGAAGCTCGACATAGCGTCTTCCTCGCTTTTGTCCCCGCCTCCTTCCGCAGCTGTCACCGCTCTCCAAAGCCCATTACCCCGCGAGAGGCAGAAGGAGGACCGTCGTCTGGATAGGACGCGGGCTAGGGGGAAACTTCTCTCGTATCTTTTCAACTTTCGGCCACGAGGAAACAATATCCATTGCGTACGTGAACCACGACACGACACCGTTCCGACGGATATTGCTCCAAACCATCGAGAAACTTACCTTTTTACACCACCTGTCAAACCTTATTCCTCCCTTTTTATTTCCACCGAACGGAAAATCTATTCTCTCATCGCGATATACTCCCGCGTTATAATATAGATTTATCATTTATCATCACATCAAGCGTTTAACCAGAATCGACTCGCCAATTTACAAACCTTTTTCCTTGCGCCCTAATACCGTGTACACGGGGCGGGAAGAAACTTGGGAGGGGTAAAGTACGTTTGTCCAATTCGGTAATGCAGTTTCTATCGAAAAAGTTGAAACGATAGGATAGGAAGAAATTTGGTTAGCTCCGATATATGTATATATATATATGTGTGTGTGTGTATCAGCTCGAGCGTCGGATAGAGTTTCCTAACGTTTCGCGAGAACTTAAACTCCGGGGCACAGGTGTTACGTTGTCGTTGAAATTTCATTTCTCGTACGAATGAATAAATCTACTCTCCGTTTTTTTCCGTCCCCTCCTGCACGCTCTTAATCTTTGTGAAACCCTTTTTTTCGCGCCTATAAATCGCAGAAATTATTACCTTATAATCCCAAGATTTATCCCAAAGATCAGATTTTTTTGCGACCTCCCCATATTTCCACCTACCGTTTTCGATCGTTCGAGCTTAAATTAATTTTAAGCTCGGAGGAAGATCGATAGAATCCGAAGGGAATGAAATTAAATTGCATTTAATATTATATCGCGCAGTCTGGCTCTATATGAAAATTCTATGTGAAATCATTCGATCGATTCGGTAAAAAGTAAAATATTTTCGAGGAAGGAAAGGAAATTTTGCGCAACGCGACGTTAGAAAAGGAAGAGAATGAATGTTTATTTCGTTGGATATTAACAATTACAAGATCAATCAATATTGAAGAGAGAATGTAGGAGAAACGAGATTTCTAGACGAAGTTGAAGTAAAAAGAAAGGTGATATAAGATGAAAAAAAAATTAGATATTCGATCGATAATCGTTAATCGTAGAATGAAACATCAACTATTTCAATTAGGTCAATGAGGGAAAACGGGGGAAGGGGGGGGGAAAAAAAAGAAGAGAAGCTTAGCGGCAGATATTAGAGGATGGCAAAAAGATGGAAGGTGGGAGGAGAGGGGGGTCTATCCATCTTTTTTCCTCTTATTTACTTGCGCATGCGCATTCCGAGCTCTACTTTAGGATCGTAGCCAAAGATTGACCGTCACGAGTCTTTTGTGCGTCTTTCAAATATTCACGAGCATTGTGACATTCAAAGCGGATAATAATCGTGGAAAAATGTTCGAAAAATCCGAGAACGAAATCTACGCCAATCTCGATGTTATTAAAAGGGAATCTTTTCGAAAAGGATGGATGGATTTGGAGAAATATAATAAAGGGAATATAATTTATAATCGAGTCGTACAAGGAGATATATATATATATATATATATATTTTAGGGAAAAATAGGGAGGAGGGGAGGGAATTTCGATTGGCAAATTCGATAACGTTGGTCCAAAAGAGTAAAGGAATGGAAGGGGAGAAGGTAATGAATTCGCGGCGATGGCGATAGATCTCCTTTTTCCACGGGGGTTACAACCGTTCGAATTTCTTCTCGAAACGATATCTCGTTTGCTTTCTACTCGCGCAGAAATTTCACGGTTGAGCGGGCGTCCTGGAAGAACGACGATCAGGAACGTGAGGAGCGTCGTCGAGTGCACATCGCCGGACGTCGTCGTCGGCGGTACCGA